GAGGAGTCAGCTCATAATAAAGACAAGAAGCAGTTCATTAAAATATGAAACTGGGGATGGCCTTCAGTCTCTCATTTCTTCACTGTTCAGTAAAAGAGCATCAAATCAGCTATATACTGAACATGCCTGAGCCACTCTGAATACAGACGTGGACTTGTTCTCGCAGGTGTAAATGATCCCTTTGGTTGCCCATGCTTGTATTTATGCAGCTATGTTAAACTCTACAGCTGCCCACTGTGGGAAATGCTCAGCAAAGAATTAAGTAATAACTTCTGTTATCCTGTTTGACAAAGCAAACTCATCACAGACTTATTGGCTTCGTTTCAACAGACTCCCATCATCGATTACTCAAACTGCTGTCACAGACAGCCTCAGTGCTTAAAGGGTAGCCAAGCAGAATACTCTGTCATGTCAGTGATATTTTACACAAAACACTAAAAATTAATTAAAAGCCATACAAATGATATCTATATCAGCATGTGCATGTATGTGTGTGCATAAAAGTCTACACTGGAATCTGGCTATAAGCTGCAGTTGTTAGTGAAATAAAAATCACAGTAAATGCATAGTGTACATTTGCCAATGTATCTTGTGACTGTCTATATAAACATGTAGACGTGTACGAACAGTTTAGACTGCATTTCAAACACCACCAGCCCACTAGTCACAATGTCAGTTTGTCCTGAAAGGAAACTTCATACAACTTCCCCAGATGAAACAATCTCATTTTAAGCATAATATTCTGAAATTAATGGGTTATTGAAGTTGTCACTATGGGACTGCTGATTTTTTGGCAGATGCTACGCACTGTGATGGTCAGGGCAAGGGCCAAACAAGCACCGGTGTGAAGCTTGGGCTGCACACTACTGTTTACACTAGAATTAAAAAACATTTGGGAATTCAGAAGGCTCTAGTCCCACTTGCATGAAATCCAGTCTCTTCGTTAGCATTAGGCAAAGAGAACCTTTAATTAATAGAACAGCTAAAACAAGCTTCTAGTCATAACCTAAGAACATGTATTTCTTTCACATTATAAGGCATTTTAATATAAATACTTTAATCTTACATTAATCCTTCAATAGTATTGCTCTGGTTTAGAAATTAATTTCAGAGGAGCAGACTCTGCTATTAGTAGAGGTGATCCCAAACCAGGGCATTTTGCTGCTTCTATCGCCATGGAACAGATGTCCCAGCTGAGGGACATTTACTAAATACGTGAAGAATCACCACACATCGAGAACAAAAACATCCTGTAGGGCCTCCTGGGGAAGAAGGATGAAAGGCAACTTTTCTGTCACTCCTGCTCTTGTGTGGAGCAGCCGGCACAAGGAGAGCTCATGCAGCACTCTTGGAGGCTTAGGGAGGAGAAAAAACAAGCTATTCCCTCTTCTTTTGAAGCATGAGGCAGGACCTTACGTGCAGAGTGATGAGCTTCATAAAAGAACACTGCACTCACAGCAGCTGATGTAGAGATGGAGGAATATTTGAGGTGGAGAAAAAGAGTCACTGGAGAATATTTTGGAAGACACAGACAGAAGAAAGAAAAAACAAAATGACTGAAAAAGCCAGGTGCATCATAAAACCATCCACATTCTGGTTCTTCCTGATATCAGGGAAAATAAAATCCCTGGTCAACTTTATTACCCAAGTCGAGCCAAGAAGTTAGCAGCTTTAATCCTGGAAGTGACTATGCTCTCAAGGAAAGGTCTGAAATACCCAGTAAAATCCAGCCTGGAAGCATGCTTCTGCTACTGACAGAGG